ATAGGGGTTTGTTTTGGAATGCTTGCCTTTCTGGATGCTTGACCCGGTCGATGGCAGACATAGAATGCTTCCTACCACACGGGGGTTTCTATAGGCCATTGTTCCCCTTGCCTCTCTGAGGGGGCCAGGTTCTGGCCGTGGTCCCCGGTAGGCCCTAGAACTCCATACACATGACTGATGCCAAAGTCTGACATTAGCATATCAGCCTGGTAAAGCTCCGGGGCGCCTCCGGGTCTCACCCAGAAAATGGCGTTTCATTATATTCAACGCTGGTTTTTTGAGATTGTTGTTTATAATAAGATTCCTTAGGGTATCTGAGAAAGAAGCTATGTTAGTATTGGGAAATCTATAGATGACTCCAATAGTCAAGGAGGATTTAAGGGATTTAATTGTAAACTGAGCAAAAGTATATTCACAGTAGTCATCTCTATCACTAATGACACTGTTGCAGATAAATGCATCTCGGTAATATATAGCTGTGCCACCATCTTTTTTATTAGGCCTACGGTTGTGAATGGCTTTATAACCAGCTAAGTTGTAGAGTTGGGTATAGTCTTTATTTAGCCAAGTTTCTGTTAAAATAATGAACGATAAGTTAGTACCTAGTGCTGTGAGTAATGCATTTATATTGTCAAAATGTTTACCAAGTGATCTAACATTTTGGTTGTAAACTGATAAGCAGTTGCTATTTTGGAGTTTGTTTTTTGCCTGGTGTGCTGTGAAATACTTGCAATAATGATGATCAATGTGCTGGTTGGTGTAGATATGAGACAGAAGATTTTGATCAGGATCAATATCAGTGTGCATGGAAATGCAGAGGGATCACGATACAAGATACACGATATAACAAAACACAAGAATAGAAGCAAATACACATAAAGTAGTAACAAATTAGAAGTAAAATAAAGATCCAATAGATAGCCAGGAAGGACACAGAAGTTAGATAAAAGAAAAAACAAAAAATCAGTAAAGACTGACAATATAAATGTAAAATAAAAATAATAATCATAAAGTAAAATGATCTTAAAGATAATTAGCTTAGTAATGGTTAATTAAAATCCTATAATTAGTATGAACCTAAGAAAACAAAGTGAGCTCGAATAGATAATTTAAAAAAATGACTTATAAATCTAAGTAAATCTAGAAATTTACTCTAATATAAATCTAAGTGTAAAAATAAACAGGGTGAGAGTATATTCATGTGGAAGATTTTACTATGATACTGAGGTGGATGCTTATATAAACAATTATACTATTAATTAATTCCAATAAATGAAACAAATTCCAAGTTACTTTAAATATAACAGGGTAATAAAGAGCCCTAGGTTTAGTGACAAGGGGATTAACTAAGACCAAATAATTAAGAGTAAAAAACAAACAATGTCAACAACAAAGATGATAACAAAAAATAAAAATAAAAAACCTTTGGAAAGGAAAGGCAGAGCTTAAGTACACTTTGGTAGTATGTGAGACTACAAATTATGTTCTGGTTATTCAGTTGTTATCCCACAGTCATCCAGGAAAGAAGTGAGGTGTGCCTCAGTGGTTATGACATAAGTTTTATTTTATATCCATTTATTATTTTGTTTCCCGTGATCAGAGACTGTATTTTAACAATATAAGAAGATAAAATAATTTTTTGGAAAGAATTTATTTTCTGTGCACCAGTGGTTTGTCATATTTTAATGCAGAGCAGTACAGTGGTTAATAACAACTTTCCAACATCCTCATATTTTTGTGTTCTTTGTTTCGTGATTGTTGATATGCCTTTTGCCACTTTAGCACTCATAATGTCTTTTTTCTTAGCAATTACAGTGCATATCATTGACGTAGATTTGTTGTACTGCCTAGCTAGCTCAACAACCCGTATATCATTTTCATGTTTACGAATGATCTCTTGTTTTTCCTCTGTGGTCATCCTCAGATGTGTTTTCTTGGATTAAACCCTACCACTGGCTTTCTTGGGACCCATTGAGAGATATATATTAATTACTTTTATGTTCAAATACCCAAAAATCTGAAAACACTGAAATTCTTGACAAAGAATTCAAGTGTGATTGTCACTAGGTGGGAGGCACTAGTAAACTGAGGCGCAGTCGCCATGCCACCACGCACTAGGTCGGCCATACTCATATCAACAAACTACGTTATTCGAAGCAAGTTTGTAACCCCATTTGGATTTTACAAAGAAATTGGGCTCTTAACCCGAAAAGTTCATAAAGAGAGAGGTATTCGTAAGCTGAGGTGTGACTGTACAATATTTTGTCCCAGCTTCATTCTTTTGGCTTTTGTAGCAACCTCCCACTCTTTCTTTCTAGCTTCCTCTCTCGTCATTCCTTTTACGTGAGATTTGGTGCCTCCTCCTCTGCCTCTTTTCCCCCATTCGAAGGTGGTTTCCCCAGGGTAGTGTTCTGAGCACAACTTTTTCCTTGTTGCCCTTAATGGTCTTGCTTCCTCCTTCCCCCCCTGGCATTTTTTCTGCCCTTTATGTTGACAGTCTCACTCTTTGCTGTTGGGGGAAAGAATACCCTTTCCTCCAATGTCTGCTCCAGCTTGCAATTAATGCTGTGTCGTCCTGGGCTACTGACCATGGCTTCAGGTTCTCTACATTTAATATTTATGCTATGACTTTTACTCGGAGGCAGGTCATTCTTTGTCCTCACCCCCCTCCCCCTATGGTAGTCTCCTTCTCTTAAAATTCTAAACTTTTAGGGTTGATCTTTGACACTGGTTTGGTTTGGTCATCCCATAACTCTTGCCTCCAAGTTGAATGCTCTAAGGCCCATACATTTCCTCGAGTCTTGTTCTGTACTTCTTGGATGCTAATAATTGTACTCACTATTTACACTCTCTCATGCTGTCTAAACCAGATTATAGCTGCCCTGTCTACTCCTCTGCTTCTCCCTCACCCTTTTGTTGTTTTGATGCTCTACACCTTGTTGGGTTGTGCTCTTGTGCCTTTCATTCATCCTGTACCCAGAGCTCGTATATTGAAACCGGGATTTATTGCTACAGGATCGTTACTGTCTTCGCTACCTCACAAGGTCTCTGCAATTTCCTCATTCTTGCTCCTCTTTCTAAGTTTTGCAAGAATGTGACACACAAGGTAAAGGCTTCTACTCATCGTATTTTTTGTCTTCTACATAACAATTTTTAAGTATTGTTATTAAATGCTTTTTCTTGAACATTTTTCATCGCATTCTAATTCTGTCTCCTTCACAGATGGGTCTGAGTTTGCCGACTGTGTTGGATATTCTGTGTTCTTTCTGGACCAAACCTATAGACCAAACAAAGCCTGCCTCCGAAGACTAGCATCTTCATCGTCGAACTTTATGCGATTTTGTAAGCTATTCATCAACTGCTTTTCTGGGATTGACTCTTGCAGTTCTCTCATGGCTCAAGTCATTTAATCATGTGCATCCTGTGGTAGTCAAAATCTAACCTTGGCTGTTTCTAATCTCTAGCAGATTTAAGTCAACTGAGTTTTGCTGGGTTCCCAGTCATATTGACATTCCTTTAAACAAGTGTGCAGACACATCCGCTAAAGAAACTGTCTGCACTTGTCCTCTTTCCTGGAAAGGCGTTCCTAATTCCAATTTCTACCCAGTCATTCATTCCTCAATCCATGACCACTGTCAGGGTCATTGGTCATATGTTACTGGTAACAAACTGCATGCACTTAAGGGGTAACCTGTACTCTTGGCCATCTTCCTACCACTATAACCAGTGGTGGGAACCAGCTCTGGTGAGGTTAGGTATTGGCCATTCTCGTTGCACTCACGTGTATTGTGAGCACGTTGTGAGCACAACACAACGTGCTTAACACTTTCCTGGATTTTCGACTTGGATTTACGGGCGGTTTGCTTAACCGCTTGTCGGATCACGACGTAAATTTACGGACCGTGTTATATTGGGTATTTACTACTTGATCAACTTAGGGTTTGTATGAATATGTTTGCCATTAAATTTTTGTTTTCTCTAATAGGCACTGTGCCTATTTCAGAAAACGGCAATGTATTGTAACTTAGAGGAGAGACTATTGAATTGGTGACACAACGAGGGTAATCGCGCACTCCACACACTCTTGTGTTGGCTGCGATCATGATTCTACATTTATATGCATATGTCTGTGCAGAGAATTTTATTCCGAACACTATACAAAAAAAAAAAAAAACTGAGTGAATCAAGTATAAACTTGAAAAAACATGAGCAAAGTAAAAACTTTTTACGCTCACGGGTACAAACACGCGTAAGATTCGCGTAAGATTTTATTCGCCGCAAATTTATTTGACGCTCTGTTGGCCAATTCTACCTATGTTCTTATAGAACTTTCTATTGCGAACACATTGCTATAAAAATGAAATACGTAGCTCGAGAAATAATGTCATGACAGTGAAATAAGTATAAACTTTCAAAGCGCTGCATCACAACAGTGTCGTCGCTGCTGAAATCACGGCTAACGCTTCGCCCAGTTCCCACACTCGTGTGGAACATAATTAGACATTGATAGGCATATGTCTGGGTGGGGAATTTTATTGCGAGTTCAGTGATATCAAAATAAGCGCTGTAGGATGACTGTGAGGCTGGCAACAAACGAAAGAGTATGAACATTTACTTCCTGTTTGGGTGTCACGGCGAGTCATCTTCGTGTTTATTTACTTCGTGGTGGGATAGCAAATGCTTGGGTGACATTTTATGCATATGATCTTGTAGAGAATTTTATTGCCAACACATTGATACCAAAATGAAAAACGTAGCTCGAGAATTGATGTTAGGAGCGTGAAAAGATTATAAACTTTTTTGTGTTTACACTTGAGCGCCCAGAACGCCGCGCGCACAACCCTCTTTTTTTTTTTAGGGAGTGCCACGTGCACTAAAGTGTTAATGGAATGCCTCCCAGCTCCTTGTTTGAAAAAGTGTATTTTGTGTGGACTATGTAGAGAAGGTGGTGGGGATCTTGAATTTAATAACTTGTCTCATGCCCATTTACCACATTTCAGAAGTGAGGAATGGTTGTCTGATATCCAGAAGCTGCTGGAACATTTGTCACCAGACTAGAAGAAAGCCTTGGAGCAGTTGCTGTCTTCCCAGGTTGATGTTTTTGGTAACGTTCCAACTCAGACTACAGTTATCCACCATGACATTGAGGTGGAAGACAGCACATCAGTCAAGTTACATCCATATCGGGTCAACCCTTCAAAGTTGGAAATAATCTGGAAGAAAGTTGACTACATGCTCAAGCATGGACTGGTAAGACCTGGCAGCAGTTGAAGCAGCCCTTGTATTTTAGTACCCAAGCCAGATGGAACTCATCAGTTGTGTATAGATTACCAGCAACTAAGTGCAGTGAAAAACCAAGCAAATGTTGCGTCAGCCAGAAAAATGATCGGATGAATTACGAGAACTTTCAAATCCAGGGATCCCATCACAATGGTTGTACTATACAAATCACTTGTACTGTTCCATCTTTAGTACTGCTCAGTACTCACTTTTCCCTTCAGAGCAAGAGAGATTGCTGAAATAGAGGGAATACAGAAAACATACGGCATTCATAGATGCAATATAGCACCTAAATTATTGGAATCGTCTTAAAGCTCTCCAAATGTACTCACTAGAAAGAAGACGAGAGAGATATCAAATAATATACACGTGGAAGATACTGGAGGGGCCAAGTACCAAATCAGCACAGTAAAATAACAATGTACTGAAGTGAACGATATGGAAGAAAGTGCAGAATAGAACTAGTGAAGAGCAGGGGTGCTATAGGCACAATCAGAGAACACTATAAAAATCAGAGGTCCGCGGTTGTTCAACACCCTCCCAGCAAGCATGAGAAATATTGCCGGAACAACCGTGGACATCTTCAAAAGAAAACTAGATTGTTTCCTCCAAGGAGTGCTGGACCAACCAGGCTGTGGTGGGTATGTGGGCCTGCGGGCTGCTGCAAGCAACAGCCTTGTGGACCTGGGGAGAAGAACTCCTCCCAGAACCTCATCAACCAGGTATCAACCAGTGATTGTTGATGATAATATTCCCATTTCCATTGAGAAGCCTGCATAAACAGCATTGGTCAAGCTAAATATGTAACCAAACTGCATTTGTCCAAGGGATATTGGTAAATTTCCCTAGCCCCAAGAACACAGGAAGTGGCCACATGGATTATTTGACTACACAGTTATGCCATTCGGCCTAAAGATTACTCCACCTACCTTTTGGCATCTCATGACCCTTGTGTTGAGAAATATACTATATTGCTGTGCTTATTTCGATGAAATTGTCAATTACATAATAGAAGGGAGGATCACCTAACAGCATTAACCAAGTTATTGCAAGGATTAAATGAAACTAATCTTACCGTAAATTTGCAAGCGTGTTTGTTAATTTGGATATGATGTAGGAAATGGAAAGGTGCTACCACATGTGGATAAAATAAGGGATATTGTGAACTACCCAGTTCAGGCTAGCAAGAAAGAGGTTAAAAATACACGGGTCTATGCAATTATAATACAGAGTTCTGTCAGGATTTTGTTGTGATTGCAGTTCTATTTACCAATTTATTATGTAAAAATGAAAAGTTCAAAAATCTCAGGAATGCCAGGATGCATTCACTAAAGGGAATGTTGTCATCTGCCCAGGTATTAGCTTGTCCTGATTATTCCAAGCCATTTAAACTATATTTAGATGCTTCAGATTTGGGAGCTGGTGCTGTATTGATGCATGTAGGAGATGATGGCATTGATCATCCCCATACATTATTATTCCATAAAATTCTCAAAGTATCAGAGAAATTATTCAACTGTAGAGAAAGAAACCCTTGCATTCTTATTGGCTGTTAAAAAATATGATGAGTATGTGTCAACCAATACAGGTGAGGTTTATATAGATTATAACCTTTTGGCCTTTATTGCTCACATAAAAAACTCAAACCAGAGAATATTAACCCCTACACTGTGCACCTGTTTTTGGCAAAAACTTCATAGTGCAATTGACAAGGACATACTTTTGTTGTTTGTGTAAATGTTCAGGTAAAGTTAATGTCAAAAGGTTTCTAAACTCAACTATTTTCATTTCAAAACACATGATGAAAACATTAAAAAACATTCAAATATAGCCTAATTAAAAAAATAGCACAACTTTCAGAATGAGATTTCTTGGCTGGCGCATTTAAGGGGATAAGGTGGTCATTGCTTCTGCAGGAATATAAGCTAATTGTCAGACATGTCCCTGGTTAATTAAATATTATAACAGATGATCTTTCAAAATTGCCAGCATCTGCAGTGACTAAAGGTATACACCTGACTAAAGTTGTATATATTGTTTGTACATATTTTCGTATTATTACTTAGGATGTGAAATTTTGTGTTAATCTTATTTTGAGACATTTAATGTGTGTGAAAGCTTGAAAAAAAATGTATAATTCACTTCCAGAGAATTTCCCATAGTCCAAAGAGATGTTATGAATATAACAATTATGTTATATTTTAGTGTAGGGAGAGACGTCAAGTCAGCGTGAGTGCTGGCAGGTTGAAGGTCGCCATTAATACTCCACCCATAGTAGTAGTACAGTGCAACCCTCGATTCGGCGAACCATTTGGGACCAACCCCAGTTTGTTGCGGTGATGGATTCGTTGCAACAGGTGATACCTCCTGGAGGCGTTTGCATCAATGTCTTTTTTTTTCCTTATACACAATAAAAATGCATTATCATATTATATACTTTACCTATATATTACTAAACTAAAAAATACTGTATCATAATTGTATTTACACTGTGGCCTCACTTGAACGAAGTATATGGGGCACGGTCGATTCGTTTTACCGCAGAATTCGTTCTACCCATCTGCCCCAGGCTGTCCCTCCCCTCCATGTGAAAATAACATAGGTCCTACATCCTCTATCAACAAAACAAAAATCACAGAAAATCTATTTATTATGTATTTATCATTTTGAACATGACACATGATAGAAAAATCATTGGTACACAGTTCCTTATCAAAATCATAACTCTGACTTATTGATGGTCGTAAATATGACGTAATGGCCAGGATTTTCATAAGCCATCTGTATGAGTCTCTGTATAAATATTCATACAAAATTAATTTATTAAGAATTCTTCATTTTCACTATGGCATTTGATAGAACAATCCCTTACAAACAATTTGGAATAAAAATGCTACATATATGAGCTCATTGAATCCAATCAAGCGAAATCACTTAATATCCTCAACAAACTGACAAGAAGAGGGGGCAGCTGGTGGGCCACCGGTGGTAGTTAGTCAGGTGGGGGGGAGGGGGGGGGGGTGGCGGCCAGACCGGCAGGCCTTGGGCTAGATAAACCCTCAGGCCAGACCTTAGCCCAGACCTCAAACCAGGACTCAGGTCAGACTCAGACCAGGCTTCGGGCTAGGCCTCAGGTCAGACTCAGACAATGTGGCAGCAGGCCTTGACTGCGTAGAGGCTAGCTGCCTCCTTAACCCTTGAACTGCACAAAACCTCATATGATGTGTGACATTGAACTCAGTTTTTAAAATTTTCTGAAAAACTTTCAAATGTTTTGTGAATAATCTGCTAGGCAAATGCTCCAACTTTGTCTAAATAATACCAGTATAACTTGAAAAATAAGAAAGTAAAAAGTAGTTATAAAATTGAATATTGAAAACTTAAGATTTTGAAATCAGCTGTAAAAATTTAAAATAAACACCATTTTGTGTTGTTATGCTCAGAACAGCATGTGATCTTCATTTTCATATATTTAGAATATAGGTTTTCAGTATAGTTTACTGTAAAAAAAAAGTGTCAATATGGCATTTGAAATATTCACAAATTTAGACAAAAATTTATAACTCTAAACGTTTAAAGTTTATGAAAAATCAATTCTATAGGGATTGTAGAACAGACAGCTGTGCACACTATATGTAAAAATGGTGAAAATCAGTCAGAAACTAGATTTTTGGATACTGAAGTAAGTTGAAATTCTAGTTATAGATATAATTGAAGTTAAAGTTATCGACAATGAATAAGGCAGTTCTAATTCATGAATTTACTTGTGTGTTGTAATAAACATTGTTCGGCATTCGTACTCAAGTATGTGAAAGTTGTAGGTCAATGTGTATAGAAATGAAGTCAGAAATGAAATGAAATGAAAAAAATACCAAAAAAATATAGGGATAATTATAATGATTTAGGGAATATATTTAGGGTATACTTTATATAAGTAAAAAGCCCTAATCTGGTCCCTAATCATCAAAACAACCTAAAGAAACAAGGAAAATAGAGTTTGAAATCCGTGAAAAAATCAGTCCCAAGTTCTGAGTAACTGATTTATTTGTTGACCAATTTAATTTTGGCTTCACATAGGGACGAGTATGCATTCTCCAGGATGTAAAGGTTAAAACAAATTAAAAACAATAAACACAAGAGAGAAAAAACAACTAAAAACCTAAAAAAAAAAAAAAAAAGTTTTTTCCAACAATTTCTTAATGTTGACTCTAAGTTCATCCCAAACTTTAGTGCAGTTGTAAATTGCTTTCTTAACTGAGTATTTTTCTGGGGAGAGCCCCTTCGGTTTCCTGGAACTTATCCAGTCTGATATGGAACAATTAGACTTTGGCATCAGTCAGTGTGAATGGAGTTCTTGGCTTACCTGGGATCATGAGCCAGAACTTTGCCCCCTCAGAGGAACGAGGAGCAATAGCCTATGGAGTTGCACATGTGATTTGAAGCATTCTATGTCTGCCATCAACTGGGTCAGGCACCCAGGTAGGTAAGCATCCCCAAACAAACCCCTATTTTGGTTGAAACTACAGTACTACTAAGTCAAACGCCACGCTGCCGTTTGCACAGCTCTTGATCCTTTGCACCATACTGGGTTGCGCCTCAGCTCTGGTGCCTTTCGTTCAACTCCTACCCTCAGCTTGTATACTGACACTGGTTTCCTATCTCTCCAGGATCGCCGTGATCGCTACTGTCTTCACTATCTTGCACAGTCCTTACAGCATCCTCACTCTCGCTTCTGTCGTACTTTGACTTTTACTCCTCCTCTAGTTCCTGTTCCTCTTCACCACCTTACTCTTTCTGTCCGTTTGTCTCACTTACAAGATTCTCTTTCGGTTCGTATTACTAATGTTTCTCCTTGTATTGTTCCATCCTTGCCCTCGTGGAGGGTCCCCTTTCCCAGATTTTGTACTTCCCTGACCACGCATCACTAAAGCTTTTACCCCTCCTACAGTTCTGAAATGCCTTTTCCTTGAGCACTTTTCTTCACACTCCCACTCCATTTCCATCTTCACCGATGGGTCTAAGTCTGCTGACGGTGTGGGCTACTCTTGTTTTTCCTGACCACATTTATATGTGTCGCCTTCCTCCAGGGGCTAGCATCTTCACAGCAGAACTTTATGCTATTCTCTATGCTCTTCGTCTCCTACTTTCTCGTTGTCAATCCTTCTTTGTGGTGGTAGTTGACTCGTAGTGCCCTCATGGCTTTGGGGTTCTTTAATCCAGTCCACACAGTGGTCATCGAGATTCAACATTGGCTGTTTCTTATCTCCAGTAAATTTAAGTCGGTTACGTTTTGCTGGGTTCCCAGCATATGTTGGTGTCTCTTTAAATGAACATGCGGATGCTGCCGCTAAGGAAGCTATCCGTACTTGTCCCATCTCCCGTAAAGGTATTCCTTATTCCGACTTTTAC